ATTTCATTGAACCCTATGTTCATTATCCCATGCGTGTTTACAGATTTGAGATCTATCAAGTTCTCTATTTTTAATATAAGATTGATGTTCACTTATTCTAATATTTAATGGCCTTGATGATTCACCTAAATAAAACTGATCGCATTCACAAGGTATTTTATAAATGCAATTCTTGGTCCTTTCTTGTTCATTGTTAGGTTTGGTTTTGGACAAAATAGATCTCAACGTGTTTGTTGTCTTGAATGTTGTTGAAATGTTGAATTTATTTTCTATCCTTTTAAGTTTTTCTGATAGTCCTTTTATGTACGGTATTGTTATTTTCCTCATATTATTCCTTGTGTATGCTGTAGGATCTCGTTCTAAGTTGTTCTGTTCTATTCGATCGATTGTTGAAAATTCCTTATTTATAAACGATAAAGGATAATCATTTTTTAATAAAACAGATGTTAAAAAATGTTTCTCCTCCAAGACCGAATTTTCGTTAGAACATTCATTAATTATTAATAAGAAAATACCAGTATTAGTAAGTCAGTAACATATAGAGGATACATCATTTATGTTTTTTAAATAACGTAACATATAAAATGAGAATTTTGATGTTTATTGAAGGTAAACTAAATTCACGAACAAATACTTACAATGTCGGGATAGTATTATGAGGTTTTTTTTCTGGTTTTTCCCTCATAATTTACTATGGAATCACTAACAGGAGAATTTTACTGTCATCATGTCATGTGTTTGTCTTTTTAAAGACGAATTACATGCTATAATTTTTTTCTGACGGATATTCTCAAGTTAAAGTTGATTTCATGTAATCGAATGAACTATCTTAAAAGTAAAGTCGTTCCAGGAGCGCAACTCAACAATATTGGCAATATCATTTTAAAGTCGTCTACTTTAAAATGCATAATGTATGTCTGAATTGTCAATATAAATGAGTCAAATAAAATTAAATTATTAGAAGAATTTTTCACTATGTAACAAAAAACAAAATTTGTTTAATTTACTGTTTGTATTTTGAGAACGATTTCCGAAGTGGAAATTGAAACGTCAATAAACGTATTTTTATCTTTAATTGTGGCTTATTCCCAGTTTATTAGAAATTAATTTACAATGCCACAAGAAAAATAGCTTCAGAACAATATTAAGAAACCTAATAGATGTATGTAGAATTCAGCGTTACACATTTTTTATAATTGATCCGGTTTTTAAGAAAAAAAAAAATGTGTCCATTTGGGAACATTATGTATAAGAACTTTTATTAGAACCAATTGTCATACACCTTAGATCGATGTATTGTCAGTATCAAACTATTCCAAATTATAAAACTTCTTAAAACAGTATTACTTTTAAAATGAAAGCATAAATGCCCCTTACACTTCTCGCACTGGAACCTTAATTTTCCCTTACAGTTTATCATCGTACATCTTTCCCTGTTTAGAGTCCAGTTTAGCCAGTGTGAAAACTGATCTGTTTGTACATACATATATTTGGTCTACGTTCAACGCATCTTCTCTTGGATGGTTGTTCAGGTGTGGAACTTCCAGGCCGACCTTCTTGTCTTTTTTGTAAAACTCCAGTTAGATAGTTGTTCAGTTAGAATTATTTTGAAATTCAGCAGTGGTAAATCACATCAGTCCTTTTAATTTGTTTTTTGATTCGCTTGTCTAATAGCCAAGCATTGACTACTGCTACATCCAGCATGTGATAGAAAATACTGTGGTACCATTTTTTGCTTTTGATTGGATATAATCCCAATAAGGAATCTTGCAGATTTACACCGCCCGTATGCCTGTTATATTGTTGTTTAATGTCTGAGCAAACAATTTCTTTTCTAGTTCTTTCAATGCGAATGAATCTTTCCACTTTGGCTGTTGGTTGAGTTCGTCAATAATTTGAGAGTAAAGACATAATTTTGTTGTCACACCACTGAACTGTATATATTGCAGTATTATCATAAGTACCAGAGTGCTCCTGAATGCTTTCCCTTTGTAATTTTTTAATTTCTTTCTTTTGCTAACCTTTATAATTCAAAATTTGGTTTGTACGAATTGTTGCTATATAATTTACGCCTCGTTTTGACAAATGTCATACCAGTGGTATATTTGAAAAATAATTATCGTGTAAGAGTTTGTGGTGTTTACTGAACGGCATTTCTCTGCTCAATCGAACTATAACATTACTACTTCTTCTTCTACGGCACTACAGCCCAAAATGAGCCTTGGCCTCCTTTATTTTTTGCCTCCACCCTTGTCTGTGTGTGGCTGCTCTTCTCCATACACGGACTCCTAAAAGTGCTTGTGCGTCGCTGCTTACTGTGTCTTCCCAGCGCTTTCTTGGCTTTCCAACTGGTCTCTTTCCCTGCATTCTGGCGTTCAGTGCTCGTTTTGGTAGCCTATCCTCTCCCATTCGTATCACATGTCCGGCTCATTGCAATCTTTGTATTCTAATGAAGTCTGACAGGGGTGTTTCCTTATACAGTTGATAGAGCTCGTTGTTATATCGAATTCTGAAGATTCCGTTTTCCCTCACAGGTCCTAGTATTCTCCTCAGTACTTTTCTTTCGAATGTGTCGAGTTTGTTTTTGGATGTTTCTTTCAGGACCCATGCTTCGCTGCCATAACATGCTATTGGCCGAATTAAAGTTTTATAGATTCTCATCTTTGTAGTTCGGTGGACACTTTTAGACCGAAATATATGGGAGAGGGCAAAATAAGCTTTGTTTGCCTGCGTTATCCTTTTTTGTATTTCTCCATCCTCTGCTCCATCGGCATATATTTCTACTCCCAGGTATGTAAACTTTCCAACCGTTTCAATGTCATCTTCATGTATAATGTTTGATGGGATTATATTTCTTCTCGTCTGTACCATTATTTTTGTTTTTTCTGTGTTAATTTCCAGACCTAGCCTTTTCGTTTGTGTTTTTAACTCTGCGTATGCTTCCTGTGCTCCTGTTGATGTTCTGTATAACATTACTAGCAGATCCCAAATTAACTTTATTCGGAAATTCTATCTTTTAACCATCTTTTTCAGCCAAAATTTCAAAATTATATGAAAATCTTGAGATTCCTGAGAGAACCCACATCTTGCATCCCCATTTATAAGGCTTTTCGGCATTATATGTCTTCATACTCGAACGACCTTTGAATGATATAAGTTTTTCGTCACAAGATAAGTATTCTAATGCGATTTTTAAACACGATCTTTTTATCTGTTTAATCAGGGGCGAGATTTTATCAAGACTGCATGTATTTTCTAAATTATTACTAAACTGAAGAAATCTTTTGATCGTTTTAAAACGATTAATAGGCATGACGTCTGCAACTTGTGAAATTCTTGTTGTCGGAGCCCAATAGCGACTTATAGTAGGTTGTCTCATTAGTGACATCCACAGCAATATCCATATAAAATTTTCAATTTCTACAGGACATGTGGTAATTGGCTTTTGTGGATTTGTTGCTGCCTGTATATACAAGTTTGTCGAAATACCTCAATTATAAAAACTGGTCTCAAAAAAAATTAAACAATGTTAGGATAATTAAGCTGCAATATGTTTGATGAAAGTAATTCAATATCTTTAAAATGCAATTAATTTACATTTCGCACAGTTGTTAAAGGATGCCATATCATATTACTTTTTTTGATAGATTTTTGTTTCGCATGTAGTTCAGTATCCGATTCATCGGTTGATAAATCAGCATGTTCATTATCAGAATCATCCTGACTGTCGATTACTCTAGCCCTTGTGGTTTGTGCAGCAAACTGCTCAACGTTACCTTTATTAGATAGCTTCGAATCTTTACTTTCAGAAAAATATTTTCTTTTTTCAGTGTCAAAATTTACCTATAGTGCACAATGTTCCTATACGGGAACAGTAACAATATTTGGGTCAAATACTAACAACAACCAAGTAAATTTATTAATTAATTTTTTAGTCGAATATTTATAAACGCATATATAACTTTTATTTCTCAATCTTACCTTATTTTTAGCTAATATTTGAAACTAAAATACACGTACTACACTAACAACCTACTCTAAGGTCACTTCAAACAAATCTGCTAACAACCTATGGGTATATCAGTAACACACAATACATATCTAAGAACGAATGTTAAATAAATAATAATAGCATAATAAATAATAATAAAAAAATAGAGGGTTAAAAATAGCATGTGATTTATCTAAAAAAAATAACATACATAATAATAAGACTAATACTCCCCTGTTATTAATGATCCAAAAGTAAATCAGGAGAAAAAAACCTCATGATACGATCCCAACAAGATAAGTAAGTATTTACACTTACATTTAATTTACTCTCAATATTAACATCAAAAATCAATAGCATCAAAAAGCTAATCCTTTGGTGTTAAAGTTAACATATAAAGTAAGACAAACCAATGGTAGTAAGCAAACGGCCTAATCTACAACCTAACATGAGTATATAGACCCGGGCTTAAAATTCCAATTTTGAATAATACAACTCTTTCGGTGGATACTAGGTATCGATTCTTAAAAGCTACATATATTTTATTATCTTATATGGGATAGAGGCATGGATAATGAACCTAAGTGTTACAAGAAAATTGGGGATCGTCGAGATGCGGGGTTGAAGATTCCTGAAAATAATATAGACAGACCATATCATTATTGAGATAGTATTGCTTAAAATGGGACATGGCGGAAAAATTCTTAACGTTATTAAAAACGCTAAACCAATTCTAGGTCATGTGCATTATGAGCACATTACAAACTCTTAAAGTTTTTGATGGACAAGGAAATTGAAGGAAGAGGAGGTACAAGTAGCAAAAAATGTTTATGGTTGAAAAATGTCAGAGAGTGGAAGGGTCTCGATACTGAATCCGTATTGAAAGCTGCACAGAATACAGAAAGATTTGTCAGAATTGTTACTAACCTTTAAAAATAAAGAGGATACTATAAGGAAAAGTATTACCTACTTTAAACTTTTAATCGTTTTATTTTTTTTTATTTTATAGTTATTGCTTAAAAGATGCGAAAACACCGTAATTGGCTCTACAGACAAGGGAGGCATCTCAGGAGGAGAGAGAAAGCGACTGACGTTTGCCTCAGAAATACTGACTAATCCGCATATAATGTTCTGTGACGAGCCAACCTCTGGTTTGGATTCTTTTATGGCCCTACAAGTTGTCCAAGCTCTAAAAGCTATGGCACAAAATGGGAAGACCGTTATTTGCACCATTCACCAACCTAGCTCTGAGCTATACGTCTTGTTTGATAAAATTATGTTGATGACTGAAGGACTTACTGGTTTTATGGGAACCAGAGAGGATGCTGATGGGTTCTTTAAATCGTAAGTGTTTTGACATTATCATTATTCTTATGTTTAAAATATTTTTTTTACAAAAAATATCAACAGATTTTCCATACATTGTATGATTTGAGCTTTTGTTCATCGATCTCTTTTATTTTTTCCATAGTTTCTGATGAGTTTCATTTTAATATACCAATTCCACTATTCTATATAAATATCTTATTTTGTTGTTTTTTATGCACTCTAACTTAATTTTAAACATTTTACATTTCTTAGCTGATTCACTTTAGGCATTTGTGGATTACGCTGTTGTTGAAAGAACATGTTTTTGATTTGAGTATTTTCTCTATTATTTTTATGATATTCAATAGTGTTTTCTATTATTTTATAGCAGATGTATCGCATCTAATATCCCATCATAATCTGTCAAAGGCCTTTTCTAAGTCTACAAAACATTTATTTAGATTCAGCTGCTATCTGACTGCGAAGACAGACACATAAAATAATTTTCCATTACCATATACGAAAACTTGTTGTTTATCTGATTTATCTAACATTTTCGTTAGCTTATTTGCTACTATTTTCGTTAATAATTTCAAACTAATACTTAATAAATTTAGACGTCTGTAGTTATATGGGTCGTTTTTTTCCTTTTTTAAATAAAAAAATCATAGTCCTCATTTTCTATTCCTAAGATTTTTTAAGACTTTTCTTAAAAACGTTAATATCTTGTAAAGCATTATATGTTTTTGTCTTATAAACTGTGTTTCACCATAGTTTTAAGTGCATTTGCTATTTCATATTATCCAGGCGTCTTTCTATTTTTCACCTTTTTTATGACTTCTTTTACCTCAACTGCTTTACATTTACCGATTACTTTATTATTTACCTCACTTTCTGTTATCTGTGTTATTTGCCTGAGATATGTTCTCCTTTTTTCTTTGTATACTTACCTCTTTATGGAAAAATACAAAATGATGTAGGACATCTAATTAGCGAAGACCAAAAAGTGGATTTACGCCTGATAGATCTTGCCCTCATAACTTGTTTATACTCCAACAATTAATAGAAAAGACAATATCGGTTGGTACCGAAGTAATCTATCCTTCATCGACCTAGAAAAGACGTATGATACAATTCCAAGACTTAAATTGTGGCAAGCTTTACATCAACTCGACATTAGTCTATACCTTTTAGGAATAATCACAGAAGTATACAGAGATAGCATCACTTACTTACACTTACTTACACTTAAAAGGCTAAGACAAGGATGCAGTATGTCTTTCATACTGTTTACTTTATATAATGAGGTAGCCCTTTAAAATTGGACAAACCACTGCCAGGGAATGGGAATCCCCATTGAAAATGACGTACTGGGTTCGCTGAACATTGCGGATGACCAAGTCGTCCTAGCTTAAGATTCTTATGATATAGAATTTATGATAAAGCATCTATACAGAGAATATGAAAAATGTATATTGCAAGTCAGCATGAAGAAAACAAAATATTTAGTTTTCAATTCAGATGCAAGGTTTGAAGTGTTCATAGACGAGGACGTGGAAATCAAACAAGTGGAAACATTTAGGTGCACTTATTGATAAGAACGTCTTGGGAGAAACCTTAATTAAACACCGAATTAATCAGGGACGTAAAATTGTAGGATGTCTGAACTCTTTATTGTGGGACCGCAACATTTCCAAAAGGAACAAAAATAGAATGGGGCAAACCATGGTTGAATCAGTTCTTTGTTACGGCTCTAAATTATGGACAATAAATACAGGCCTGAATAGAAGATTTTTGGCAGTTGAAATAGATTATTTAAGAGTCTTCTTTGAATGCATTGAATGTAATTTCTATTAACTACCTTACTCCTTTATGTTTTTGGGCGTTCAAGAATTTACGTATTCTTTTTTGTAATTCATACATATCATGGTCCATTCTTTTCTAAGGTTCTAATGTACTAATTTATAGAGAACTTGCTGCTGTGAATGTCCTTAGAGAAGCTGCACCGAAAGTACGAATTGTCGTCATGATTGCCTAACTTCTTAAAGGAAACAGTATGATTTTCTGTGTTATAATAGCAAAATAGCTTATTGGTGTACTTTTTATTTAGATTACTGTGATTATTTTTATCAGCTAATTGTAAATTGTGATGTAGGATGGAGGCCAGATGTCCAAGAAACTATAACCCTGCAGACTATTTCATAAAATTGCTATCAATCATTCCAGATAGAGAGGAATCCTGTAGACAAGCTATTGCTCTAATAGTGGCCAAATTTCACAACTCTCCTTTGGGCATCAAGATAGCCACAGAATCTGCTTATATAGTAAGTAATTATATAAAGGACATAGTTATTGTGTAATAAAGTTTTCTATTGAAAAGTGCAAATGCTATATTACTCTTCAAACAAGAGTTTTCGGGATGAACACAACTATTTTTTGTCCTAACGAGAACTTACAAATTATTTTTTAAATCTCTTTTAAAGTCAGAAAATAAAGAACGAGTAATACAACACTAATAAACACAAAAAAACAATTTTTGTAAATAAAACTAAAATTAAAATGAGGATATAATTTGGTAGACTTTTCTCATATAAACTTTATTTCTATTTTAGAGAGCCCAGGAAGAAGGCGATAACACTATATGGATTTCTAATAACTTAAGGCCATACAAAAATTCATGCTGGGCACAGTTTCGCGCCGTTCTCTGGAGATCCTGGATAAGCATGTTAAAAGATCCGCTGATAATCAAAGTTAGGTTTTTACAAACTGTGGTAAGTAAAATTGCTAATTTGTAAAATGTATGTATAAGCATACAGCTCTCAGGAATTTATTATTTTATTTTTTTAACTATATATTTTAACTTGACTTCAATTTTATCTTATTTTTTACGTAGGTAAGTGATACGTAATTCTTCGCAAGCCAAGTTAAATTAAATATGTAAAAATAATGGCCATACTGTAACTTCCTTACTTTAATGTAAATAATATTAATATTTAAAACAATCTTATTCTATTCTATAGAAGGGGTTCTCAACGTTCTAGCAACTGCGTACTGCCTGAAGCAGATTAAAGATTTAGGCGTATAATCATCATTAAAATCACTTGGATACAAGTAACTGGTAACATAAAATAGCATAGATTTCGGAAGTGCATTGGATACTCGAAATTACTTCTGATCCAGAAGTCTGTTAATGATCTCTCTGTACAAAAATATTTCATAGAACTGTCTTTTGTTAAATCGATATGTTTTTTTTTTTACAATTCTAACTCATTTGGTGAACTTTTTGTAAAATAATCTTTGATCCAGTCAAAGCAATGATCTTCGAAACAGTATTTATTAAAACATCTGGTTTTGGCGTAATTTATATTTTTCAAAAAATGATGACACTACAAAATATTAAGACATTCTTCTCTTGTATCTGTACACATAATAGAATCAACTTTTTCTTGAAAAAGTTTATGTTGTCATTAGTTGTAAAGGGTGCTGTATTTGCTCTCTGAAAACTTATGTTTGGCATGTTAAGTCTTTTAAAAATGTCGGCTAGATATGAAAATCTTGGCAAGTTTTTCAACTCACTATTTTTTTCAGCTCAAAGCATTAAAACTTCTGACGTCAGTTCGAAGACACGCGTAAAAGGTTTCCCATGAGATAATCTACCACTTTTGTATACAAAAAAAAATTTTTCAGCTTGCTACCGGTATTTTATGCAATATGCCCTTTTACATTCAGGAGCAACTTTCTTTGTTTTCGGTGCTAGTCCTATTAATTTTCCTGACATAGCTTCTACTTCATCTGTGCCTAAACTAATACATTTTTAGCCAGGAATGCCTATTTTAAGCCACACTCATCAATCTTGTTGAAAATATAGTGTTTGATTCAAGTGGTTTTCAGGACAAAAACTCTTTGTCGGTACTTTCGTCAGCTTGAAGTACCAAATTTATGTTTTCTTACAGTTTTTAATCAGTTAGTTTTCAATCTTCCAAGACATGGCCTCTGCACTGGATTATTCGACACTGATATTTTTTAATTTCTTTAGCAGCCGTTGTTTCTAACACAGTTTAACTCATATCCACAGAGACTTTCTATATTTTGCAATCCTGTAACTAGCAGGATTAACTAATAAATTAGAGCGTTATTAATTAACTAATAAAATAACTGGCGTTATTTATATAACATATATATGGTTAATTATATAATATAATTATATTATATAATTAACTAATAAAATAACTGGCGTTTATCATAAGTGTTTATTATATAAGTATTAAGCTTGGCATAGATTCATATTCTTTCTTAAAAAAAGCAGGATTTCTTTCAAAAAACTTCGTCGGCTTACCAGCCAAATCAGAATATTTTGTGTTTTAAGTGATACATCAGCAAAGAACGTTTTATAGTTTGCTGCCAAAGGCTTATGATTTACGATTGGTCTGCGGTTTAGGTTCTTTAACACTGGTCTTACAAGTCCCAGGGTTCATCAGAAATAGTTTTATAGTTCATTATGGAAACATAACATTATACGCAACGCGCGATCGCGAAGCCAGTGAAGTGGACAATAAGCGAAGCACTCCACAGGAGGAGAGTAGCACTGGTTGGAAATTCCTGTTCCATAGAATTAGCACATTTGGACATACTGTTGTCCAGAACTTTACGGCACTAGAGTTAGTGTATAATACTTTCAGAAACGTGTATTAACAATATGCACCAACTTTTTATTAAATTAATTCTCTGTAGGATTTCTGTACTTTTTGTATTAACAATTTATTTTCAAGCGATAAATTAGATCTTATTTTGTGAAGCCAGTAGAGCTGTCTTCATTTAAGAGTAGGTTGTTTTTTTATAATATTTTCACTTTTCTACATTAAACAATTACTAGGTAGTTAAAAGATTTTTACATTCAACATGAAATAATTTTTGCCCAATTATTTTCTGCTATAACCGACTTTTCGATATAAATACAGTCTAAATGTTTCTTTTTTAAATAACTTGATTGCTCTTTTTCTCATGTTTTTTTTTTCTTGTTTCTATAATTCTGGGTGGTAGATATAATATTTTAATGCCAAACGTATTGTCTTATTATAACCTTAAAGGAAACCGGTTTAACAGTTTATTATTTTGTTTGTAGATAACATCTTTACTTATAGGACTGATTTATTATGGACAAGAAATTAACCAGGAAGGGGTAATGAACATTAATGGTGTTCTTTTTATATTTTTAACCAATATGACTTTCCAAAATGTTTACGCTGTAATCCATGTAAGTACCTACTATACTTAGTTCTCTTTTTGTATCTCTACTTTCTTCGTTCTCATTAAATACACTTTGGTATCATTATAATAATTATCTGTCAGGTGTCTACATTAAAGATTTCAAGAATTTTATTAAACCTTAAACCAAATTCTGCTGTTATGGACAACGAATCTTACCATATTTAAAATCCACAAGGAAACCAATTCCTGTAGCTGGCTGTATACCACGTATCACAAAAAAGAGGTTAGTCTTTGTAAGTGGGTACATTTGTTTAAACACCCTTAAAAGGGCTACATAAAAAAAACATACGTTTTCGGACTAAACAGCCCATCATCAGGTTTAAAATCGCCTAAAATAAGTATAAACCATTTAGTTAAAACAAACGTGGTTATGAAATTTTGACTATGGTTAAAAAGTACATATAGTTATAAAAGATTATACATCTTGTTGTTAAAAAACTGTGATGTTCAGTAATAAATTAAATATGACTTCAGGTAACATACATTGCAAAAATTGAGTTACAATATACCTATGAACGGTGTCAAAAACAAAATGTCAATTTAACATAGAACTATATTAGTTATACCTAGTGTTACTACAGCCAAAAGATTCAAAAATTATTTTTGATGATTTTAAAAAAAATAATAACAGCAATATAGGTGTTGGGATTTAAAATTTAAGTTATAATCGATGTGAAATCACCAATGGTGTTAAAGTCATGTTTAAGAGGATGACCTGTGTATTAGGCAACCTATGTTGCTTTTTGTCGTATGAAATATGGTCTAAAAGTGTATTTTATGTTAGATTAGCTTATATATATATATATATGTTATATGTGAAAATAGTCACCTTGAACCACTCAAGGGTTACCGACACTTTGGTTTCGCAATATCAGTTTCTATTTCATCATTCTTTTAGCAAGCGTTCCCATAGAGATAGCTGACTATGCACGGACATCAAACTCTGACCAAAGCTGGCCTTTCGTGGGAAATGCCGACACCACATTTTGTAGATAGATTATAAATTCAGGACTAACATTATATTTTTCACTCGTCATATAAGTTTCTTACTAATAACATTTGTATTATATAATTTTATTTGCTTCATTTTATCGTATAACTAAGTGTAACTTTTATTTGTGAAATAAATCTTTTTTAAAAAGTCAATCAAGAAGTTAGTGATTTAACATTTGGCGCAGTCAGTAGGATCCGGTTAACGTTGTTAGAACAAGGAAACTCACTAGCAACGGCGGATCCCTATCCCTCAACGGAAAAAGAACCTAGAGCCGTCCTCATTCAACTGGATACTACGGAAGGAACACCTGGTGAAGCCCCTGGTAGCAGATCCCGTTAGAAAACAAGACGTACTCGATGTTTCTGTTAATGTAAGTTATTGAATCATCTCGTTTTTACTATTTTTATATTTGCAAACATACCGTACATACATCATAATTTTTTCAATTTATAATCTTGACTATACAGAAAGTCAAGCCAAGTTGATTATCTAATAAGGAAATACCTTTTTATTGCATACTTTTATTATTTTACCATTCTTATTTACACATTTTATTAATTTCGTATTATATTTTCACCGATATTTTACTATATTTTACTTTATTTTACCACATTTTACTTGATTTTACCATATTTTACTTGATTTTACTACATTTTATTTTATTTTACCATATTTACTATTCGCATATTTTGTTTTATACTTCCACTAACATATTATTATCAAAATGCCTGAAACACGTTCACAAACCCAAGTTGAAATTGAACCATACAAACTTTCAGAAATATTCTCCATAATTCCTGAGTTTGAAGGAGACCCAATCTCTCTTCCCACATTCTTAGACGCATGTGATTGCGCGATTAAAATGTCTTCGGGAGACCAACGTATTTTATTAACGATTCACATTAAAAATAAACTAAAAGGTAAAGCAGCTCAATTAATAAACTCTAGAAAACCAACTTCATACACAGACATAAAAAATTTATTAAACCTTCATTTCGGAGATAGTAGAGATCTCACTTCCTTAATTCACGACCTACAAAGACTTCGACAGTTATCGAACGAATCACCTTTAACCTTTTTCAATAGATTACAAGTTCTAAATGCAAACATGCACGCCTCAATTCAAAAATCAGGCCTAACACAAGACCAAAAAACCGCCCAATGCACGTTAATTGACTCTATGGCTTTGAATACTCTCTTAACTGGACTAGAACCCCGCTTAGGACAAATAATTAGGGCCAGTAACCCTAAAGACCTTATTGAAGCCAGTAACCGTATCCGACGTGAACTTCAGTTATCGTATTTCGAATCTCAAAAATCAAATAAAGATAGCCAAAATAATCCAAAACCTTCCCAACCGATGAGAAGAACCTCATCTAATTTTTCTAAATGTACAAGTTGTGGTCGTATTGGCCATTTAAGTAGCGAATGTCGCTCATCACGTTTTTCTTATCAAAATCAATATAGCGGTAGACCACAAAACTACCAAAATAATCAAAACCAATCCAATCAATATAATACTAGATCACAAAATTACCCAAGTAATCAAAACCAATACTCTTCTAATCAACAAAATTTAAACCCACAGAGATCGAATTTCCCTTCTCAAAATCAACCGCAGAATCGCCCCTCTGTTATTCAGAGAAATCCAAATTTCCAAAATTTTCAGCAAAGAGCCCATGTCTTTAATGAATACCCTGACGATCTTGTAGAATCTTATGAAGATTATTATACAGAAAATGATCTTCAAACTAACTATTTTTACGAATATACCAATGACACATCTGATTTTATTAATAATACACCTGATACAGAAAATTATCAGGATTTTCTTTCGCTACCCAATCAGAACCATCCCCCAGTACATACGAATCTTTCAACCGATATCACGAATGTACAACAACAAATCCAAGCCCTCAATTTGGACAATTTCGATCCAAATGTGAATTTCCCCGAACAGAAATTCCTGTAAGCCCCTTCCACACAATGAGCTCTAAAAACTTATATTATATCAATGACGCTACGAATACTTTTAAACTTCTAATTGACACCGGTGCAGGAATTACAGTTTTTAAAGAGAATACTGCACGAAATTATCATAACCGATCCCCAGAAAATGTTACCATTCAAGGCATAACCGACGAGAAACTTCTAATTACAGAATCTGTCCTTATTCCCTTTACCGATGACAACCCTCACAAAGTTTTCATTTTTAATCTAGACATTGACTTTGACGGCATAATAGGCCTAGATTTCCTAGACCACTACGAATGTGTAATAGACCTTAAAACAAGACAACTTCATACAAATTTTAAAACTCTTACCCTGCATAAAGTCGGACAAGAGACCCATAAACCCATAGAAAATATTCCGGTTACATTTCCTACAAAAATAGTACCGTCAAATAATTTCCAAACATATCCGAAATCAAACTCAAACGTTAAAGCTCAACACAATAGCAGCTCATTTCACGAAAACACTCATGATCAACACAAACACATCCCAAGACCAGAGAAAAAACGAATAAAAGAAAAAATAAACCAAATTTCGATTGATAGCCGAACAGAACAAATATTCAAATTGAAATGCAACCTATCCAATACAGACGCAATACTGTCATCCCAAGAAATCGAAAAAGTTCGAATTCCTCACGCATTAGTCCATGTAGACGAAAATGGAGACTTATTAACTTCCGTCATTAATGCTAATGCAATGCCAAAAATAATCGAATTTTCGAATATTTCCATCGAACCTATCGAAAACTTGGAGACAATCTTCACCTACGATCAAAATCACTGCGAACAGCCAATTATAGACAGAGAAGAAATAATTAGAGAACAACTGAGAATTGACCACTTAAACTCAGAAGAAAAGGAACAAATTCTAAACATTTGTACGGAATTTTCAGATATATTTTACGTAGAAGGTGACAAGCTAACATTCACAAATGAAATTAAGCACGCAATCAAAACGAACAACGCGAAACCGATATACACGAAATCTTACAGATATCCACAGGTTCATAAAGAAGAGGTAAAGACGCAAACCAACAAAATGCTAGAGCAAGGAATAATTCGGCATAGCATATCGCCCTGGTCAAGTCCAGTGTGGGTGGTACCCAAAAAACTTGACGCATCTGGCAAACAGAAATGGAGAGTCGTTATTGACTATCGTAAACTTAATGAAGTTACAATAGAAGATCGTTATCCACTTCCACAAATTTCAGAATTGTTGGACCAACTTGGAAAGTGTCAATACTTTACAACATTAGATTTGGCGTCCGGATTCCACCAAATTGAAATCGATCCAAAAGATATCCAAAAAACAGCATTTTCAGTAGACAACGGACATTACGAATTTGTTCGTATGCCTTTCGGATTAAGGAATGCTCCTTCCACATTTCAACGAGTAATGGATAACATCCTCTTAGGAATTCAAAACGAGAGATGTTTAGTATATATGGACGACATAATCATCTATTCAGCCACCATTCATGAGCATATGTCACGACTGACAGAAGTATTTAAAAGATTAAGAAAAGCAAATCTGAAGATACAACCGGATAAATGTGAATTCTTAAGAAAAGAAGTCGCATACTTAGGACACCTCGTAACTGAACACGGAGTAAAAACAAATCCTGCCAAGGTATCATGCATAAAAAGTTTCCCAGAACCCAAGACAACTAAAGAAATAAAATCATTTTTAGGCCTAGTAGGTTACTACCGCAGATTTATACCGAATTTTGCCAAAATTTCCAAACCACTGACTAAATTACTTCAAAAAGAAGTCCCTTTTGTTTTTAATGCCGAATGTAAGGAAGCATTCAACGATCTCAAAAATATTCTAATGACAGACCCAATTCTCATATATCCAAATTTTGAAGAACCCTTTTTACTCACTACTGACGCTAGTGCTTTCGCAATTGGAGCCGTTTTGTCACAAGGCCCATTAGGAAAAGATCTGCCAATCGCTTATGCATCACGAACATTATG